ACAGACATGAGTGAATTTGGCTGTTTAATTATTATTATTATTATTATTATTATTATTATTATTACAGTGTGGAGACACTGTAATAATAATAATAAACATTAATGTTTCTGCTCTTTGAAAAGTAAAACATGTTTATTTGTTAGACACAGAGAACGTTAAAGTGTTTTATGAGGTACATAAACAACATTAAAAACACAATAAAATCTAATAAAACAAATGATTTGTCGATTTGTAATTTATGTGATTTTATTACTTTTGATTTAACTGAATTGATGCAAACAGATAAAAATAACTTCTATGAAGACCATAAGAGGTTTTTTTATTTTCATCTGTAAGATTTTTAAAAGATTAAAACAAAAAGTTCATTTAATATATTTAATATATCTTTATTGTCTCAGGTGGAAAACTTGTCTCGCAGCAGATCAAACAGTTAAAATATAATAAATACATAAAATAATAGGGAAGAGCTGCTCGTTATAAACTGAAACCAAAAGAATAAATGTAACACTTTATTAACTTAAATACTTTTATATGTTTGTATACGTTTTATACACTTAAATAAAACCAACATCTTCATCAAACTGTGATATAAACTTAATGTTAAATATCTGATTGATTAATGAATATAAATGTTTTCATAATTAAACTGCAGCCTGATATAGGATAAAGTGATAAAATATAGTTTATTCAGGATCTTTCATTGCATTGTAAAAATATTACAGGTAAAAGTTGTACGTTCATATTTGTACAGTTATTGATCTGTAAGTGTAAAATAAATGTGCAGTAAAGTCATTTATTATTTATTCATAAGAACAATAAACAATAATAAACATTTCTGTAAATAAAGTGTAAAAGTATAAAGTAACAGAAATGAAGCTGCAATGATTAATCGATCGACAGATAAATAAAATCAAATTAGTTCATTGATTAATCGTAGAAGTAATTCTTTATTTTTTTAGTCGGGAACTGATTTTATTTGTTTTGTTTCATATTAAACTGAATATTTTCTGACATTTTAT